TTGTTGCTATATCATTCTCAAAATGTAGCACAACTTGTCTTCTCACTCTTTCATGTACATTTCTGACTCTTCTACTCACTACTGTTTTCTTCTCTCCTTCAGTTACCCCTCAAAGGAGGCTCCATGGATCAAACATGAGTGCCTCCCATTTCCCCAGGTACTGTGCTCCCTCTTGAATGTGGTGATATCCTTTGTTTTCTAAATCATTACAACCATTGGGAACTGCCAAACCCCTAGAACTCATACAGGACCTGCAGAAATGAGAGGCAATCACGTTTGATCCAAGGAAAGGGAGGATAGGACCTATTCCTTGGATTAAGAGCCCTAAATGGGCATCAAAGCACTGACCATGGGCTTTCTCTATTTTTAACCCTTACACCTGGGCATGAAGTTCTCCTCTACCTCTCGGCACTTTCTGTCTATTTACTCATCCCATTTGTTAATTTTCTTTCTGGTTCTTTTTCCCACTGCTCTTCATTCAGGAATTCTTTCATCCCAGCAAAATTTCCTCTTCTGACATCAGGTTTCTCACTTCCTCATTTAATATTCATTCCTTAATGTTTATTTCCACAAGATATTTGAAATTCTGTACTTTGTGGTCACTAGCATCCAGACGGCTCTCATGTTCGTATTCTATGTCACCTATGCCAGATGTACTTATAGTAAATACCAGATCCAGTCTTGCTGGTTTATCCCCCACCCCCCTCTTTCTCTTTCATGTTTACATGTTGACACTAACTTTTCCAAGTTCTGCACATTTCTGGTTCCCCATGTGGGTCCTAATATCGTCCAACCCATATAATTAAAAAAAAAACATGATTAGTAACTTTGTCCATTTGGACTCTTTTTGCTGCTTCTGCTATACTGCCAGTCATTTCTTTGTCATGTCTCTTACTATTTGGTGATGGGTTGTAAATCACAATTATTACTACTATGGATCCCCCAGTCTTCATTGTGTTCACCATGTGGTCATTTGAATCAATGTTTATTCCTCTTTTCAAAACTCCCACTCGTTTCTGATGAGCAGTGCGACTCCTACCCTCTCCTCTGTTTCTCTCTCCTAATTACTTGATATCTTGTCAGAAATATGGCATCTGTTATCATTTTAGTTTTGCCTCTGTGAAAGGTTGACAGCTACGATGTCTGGGTGTGTGTGTGTGTAGGATGTACTCACCTAATTGTACTTGCCTAATTGTGATGCAGGGATCGATTCATAGCTCTTTACTGGTCGCCACTACGTGTGTGTGTGTGTGTGTGTACTCACCTATTTGTACTCACCTATTTGTGGTTGCAGGGGTCGAGTCACAGCTCCTGGCCCCACCTCTTCGCTGATTGCTACTAGGTCCTCTCTCTCCCTGCCCCATGAGCTCTATCATACCTCGCCTTAAAACTACTGTACTCACCTATTTGTGGTTGCAGGGGTCGAGTCCTAGCTCCTGGCCCCGCCTCTTCACCGGTTGCTACTAGGCCCTCTCTCTCCCCGCTCCATGAGCTTTATCAAACCTCGTCTTAAAACTGTGTATGGTTCCTGCCTCCACTACGTCATTTTCTAGGCTATGACTGAAGAAATACTTCCTACTATCTCTCTGACTCATTTGTGTCTTCAACTTCCAATTGTGGCCTCTTGTTTCTGTGTCCCCTCCCTGGAACATCCTGTCTTTGTCCACCTTGTCTATTCCACGCAGTATTTTATATGTCGTTATCATGTCTCCCCTGACCCTCCTGTCCTCCAGTGTGGTCAGGCCGATTTCCCTTAATCTTTCCTCATAGGACATTCCCCTTAGCTCTGGAACTAACCTTGTCACAAACCTTTGTACTTTCTCTAGTTTCTTGACGTGCTTTATCAAGTGCGGGTTCCAAACAGGTGCTGCATACTCCAGTATGGGCCTGACATACACGGTGTACAGTGTCTTGAATGATTCCTTACTAAGTATCGGAATGCTGTTCTCAGGTTTGCCAGGCGCCCATATGCTGCAGCAGTTATCTGATTGATGTGTGCTTCCGGAGACATGCTCGGTGTTATACTCACCCCAAGATCTTTCTCCTTGAGTGAGGTTTGCAGTCTTTGGCCACCTAGCCTATACTCTGTCTGTGGTCTTCTGTGCCCTTCCCCTATCTTCATGACTTTGCATTTGGCAGGATTAAATTCGAGAAGCCATTTGCTGGACCAGGTGTCCAGTCTGTCCAGGTTTCTTTGAAGTCCTGCCTGGTCCTCATCAGATTTAATTCTCCTCATTAACTTCACATCATCTGCAAACAGGGACACTTCTGAGTCTAACCCTTCCGTCATGTCGTTCACATATACCAAAAATAGCACTGGTCCTAGGACCGACCCCTGTGGGACCCCGCTCGTCACAGGTGCCCACTGTGATACATCATTACGTACCATGACTCGTTGTTGCCTCCCTGTCAGGTATTTCTGATCCATTGCAGTGCCCTTCCTGTTATATGCGCCTGATGCTCTAGCTTCTGCACTATCTCTTGTGAGGAACTGTGTCAAAGGCCTTCTTGCAGTCCAAGAAGATGCAATCAACCCACCCCTCTCTCTCTTGTCTTACTTCTGTTATTTTATCATAAAACTCCAGAAGGTTTGTGACACAGGATTTGCCTTCCGTGAATCCGTGCTGGTTGGCATTTATACTCCTGTTCCGTTCCAGGTGCTCCACCACTCTCCTCCTGATAATCTTCTCCATAATTTTGCATACTATACACGTCAATGACACAGGTCTATAGTTTAGTGCCTCTTTTCTGTCTCCTTTTTTAAAAATGGGAACTACATTTGCCGTCTTCCTGTGTGTGTGTGTGTGTGTGTGTGTGTGTGTGTGTGTGTGTGTGTGTGTGTGTGTGTGTGTGTGTGTGTGTGACGTGACTCTCAGTTTGACAGACTGGAAACTGGAAATTTATGATTTACACTTATTTCACGTTTCGCTCACATAAACACATTCACACTCACATTTCATGTCTCTGTGTGGCCTCCAACAGTGCACTGATTACCACACTGGGGGTAAACCATAGCTTGTTTAATTTCCCTTTTATACAGTATAAAGAATGGTAGAAAATGCTACGTCTAGTTACTCAGCAAACAGAGGAAATAACGTTAGTATATTCGTCAGGGGGAAAAAAACTTCAACACGAGTCAATGTTATATGTTGAGTGATGTCTGAATCATGGTGTGACGTGGCAAAACTGTGGTGGCTGAGGCACTGTGACCTGACACTGACCTGAGGCTCTGACTTAACACTATGACCTGAGGAACTGTGACCTGACATGACCCGAGGCTGTATGACAGGTTCTGTAACCAGACACTATGACCTGAGGCTCTGTGACCTGACACTATGACCTAAGGCTCCATGACCTGACACTATGACCTGAGGCTCTGACCTGACACTATGACCTGTGACTACGACCTGAGGCTCTGTGACCTAAGATCAGAGACGTTATGGATGACCCTGTCATATCCTCTATCTTCAAGAACAACTCTGAACTTTCTAATATATAAATAGACCATCTAAATGATTTGACACGTGTCTTATGGAAACTTGATATAAATGACTATATAAAAAAGTAGCCAATAATAACCCAACAAAAAGCTGCAGTAAGAATAATCACTAAATCCCATCCCTGGCAACACCCCCCCCCCCCCACTCTTCATAGATCTAAACTTACTCCCTGTTCAGTACATCCACACTTACTACTGTGCAATCTACATCTACAGGACCTTAAATTCCAATATTAACCTTGACCTAAAACGCTTTCTTGATAGTTGCGACAGAACCCACAGGCACAACACCAGACACAAACATCTCTATGACATTCCCCGTGCCCGACTAAACCTTTACAAAAATTCAATGCATGTCAAAGGCCCTAAAATCTGGAACACCCTACCTGAAAAATTATAAAACTGCAGACACATTCATCACCTTCAAAACTACCATCAGAAAACATCTTATCTCCCTGATACACCCTGTCAACTAATTACACGAATACCGCCTGGTGGTTCACACTTACACTCACTCACCCATTTGACCATAAACAGAAATATCAATCTCAATCTCAAAATAATGAATCTTAACTAGTCATAAGTTGGCCTGTGATACTCCAATACTGAAACTATGTATAGTGCCAAAACAAAAGCATTCACATTGCTAAACTCACAAACTAGTATTTAGTCACTTAACCATAATACCAACTTACCTCATAATTTTGTAATATTTTAAACTTAAGATTTAATTTAAGTCTGCCCGAAATGCCTAGCCATGCTAGGTGTTCTAGTGGTACACTCTGTAATTATTATTTTACTACAAGTAAACCACACAATAACCAAATTCTGTAAACTCAGCATTGTAATCCTTATAGAGAATAAACTTTGAATTTGAATTGAATTTGAATTTAAAAGCTGTAGGAGTGTGTGGTGTGTTGACACCCTGCGTCGTATTCTTTCTTATCCAAACCTGCACACGAAAATCACTCCCTATGAAAGCAAAAGACTCGGCAGGAGATGCAACATTTCCCCGATGAAAAGCAGGGGCGCCACGAGTACTTCGAGAGACAACACAATAAGTGTCTGGGGCACAAGACTGTTCAACTGCCTCCCAGCATACATAAGGGGGATTACCAATAGACCTCTGGCTGTCTTCACGAAGGCACTGGACAGGCACCTAAAGTCGGTACCGGACCAACCGGGCTGTGGTTCGTACGTCAGTTTGCTTGCGGTCGGAAGTAACAGCCTGGTTGATCAGACCCTGATCCACCATGAGACCTGGTCTCAGACCGGGCCACGGAGACGTTGACCCCAGAAACCCTCTCCAGGTAAACTCCAGGTATAGGTGGCATGTTGGCTCCCCCTCTCTGTTTCACAGGTGTGCTGGGCTGGTAGCTGTAGTCTGCAACTTACCTATCACGCATGTTTGACGATATGTTATGTATTGTACGCTTCTCCCCCTCCCCTAATACATGTTGATGTTTTTGTGTGGGAGGAGAGGATGTAAAGTGGAGGTTAGGTCCCCACTTTCAGGTATACTGCAACAAATTTGCTAATCGCAGTTGTGGTAGCCTGCAAGGGTATCAGCCTACAGGTGTGTCAGGAGCAGGTGTGCCAGGAAAGGACGTATCTGCCTACAGGTGTGCCTGCCTACAGGTGTGCCAACCTACAGGTGTGCCAGCTGCAGGTACGCCAGCACCAACAATTAAACAACCGACACCTGTTGGTGGCTGTCCGGATTGTTCGTGGGGGTACGGGGAACAAACATTGTTTAACAACCAGACACTCACAAACACTACTACAATAACCATCTAGTAAGCAGTGTCCGTGAGAATTTGACGCTATATGAAGGTGTGCTCTGTATCTAGTCAACCATACCAATCAGCAAGCCTTGCTCCATAAAGTACATCAGTATCAGAACTATTTGTGTTGGCCATCACAAGGGAGCTGCCAGAGTGGAAGACGAGGATATATCTTCATAATGTTAACACCAGCAAGTGGGAGAATAAGTATAGTGCTAAGTATGTTGTGTACGACAATGTTGAGTATTTTAAGAATGTTGTGTGTAGGGCAATGTTGAATGCAGTGTTCAGTATTTTTGTTGTGTGTAGCGTTGTCAGGGCTGTTTGCCTGTTTGCAAAGCAGAGTCTGCGGTCGGCAAACCATCTCGCCAGTTTTCGGATGGATATGATGGACCCATCTTTACTGAGTAAAGACATCTTGTACAAATTTATTTACAGTCTGATTGAGAAATAGTAGTTACAGGATAGAATATAACTGAAATAAAACCTGATAAAACTGTCAACTGGTATACCTGGTAGGTCTGTCAACTAGTGTACCTGATAAGTCTGTCAACTGGTATGCCTGATAAATTTGTCAACTCGTATTCCAGATGTATGTCAATCAACTAGCAAATTTTGTTAACTCCAGCTCTGGACTATTAATATAAACAATACATTACGCAATACTCTCAAGATCCGCACAAGTGTCAAAGTGTGCTAGTGTCCTGAACATCGCTGTGTTGTTGATGTATCCTTGATAAATTAAGAAGTACTCACTTTTTGCATTTAAATGAAAAGCAGACACTAATGAAGTGTGTGAGCTTGGTGACTGTGATTAAACTACTACTACTACTACTACTAATAATAATAATAATAATAATAATACTCTTTATTTCTACAAGTACATGTACAAGGTATACAGGTCTACCTGCCATCAATGACATACTACTATATAGAAATCCCCTTGTTATGCAGAGCATATCGGGCAAATTAGGTCAGTTTTGTCTCAGGATGCAACTCACACCAGTCGACTAACACCCAGGTACCTAATTTACTGATAGGTGAACATGGACAGCAGGTGCCTTAAGGAAACATGTCCTAATGTTCCCATCCGTAACGGGGATCAACCCCCGGACCTCAGTGTGAGCTGAGTGCGCTACCAATCGAACTACGTGAGAATTGGTGTCAAATTTACGTATTTTAATGTTTTAGACATTTTGCCTTTATATTATTAACCTTAATAAACATTATCATCTAGAAGTTATATAAATTCTAATTCAAGAATATATATGGATGGTTCTGAGAGTGTTGTAGTGATTCTAAATCTTCATTTGGTTCCTGAAAGGACATAATTTGCAAGGTTCTCTGATTTCTCGTGCCCAGGCTGACTTAGTGGTTGACAACGTACCACCTGATGACCTCTGAGCTAGTGTCGAGGATATGGATTATTAACCGTAAGGTTACTAACCAAAGAAACCCCAGTAGAGCCATTTTATCAACTGTGATGTGTTTGAGGTAATCAGTCCCTCAGTCAAGCTGAGGTAATCAGTCCCTCAGTCAAACCGAGGGACTGATTACCTCAACTTCCTCTTTATCTTCCACAGTTCTCTGTATTGGACTGAAGAAGCCACTGGCTGGGGAAACATTTCCTCCCTAAATATTCCCGAATATTACACAAGTGTCTCATTCTTTATCTTATCAGGTTTGATCCAGGATAAGGGAAACTAGCCCCAGTTCCTTGAATAAAGAGCACTGGATGAGCATCAAGACACATTCCCCTTCACATACCCTTCAATGGTAATCCCCTTCAAGGGGAATATACTTTGGAACTCAGACCGAAGTGCCCATACTAGTCTTTCCCCAAATTTCTTTTAGTTCATTAAATTTCCAGGTGTTCTAGCAGATGCGTAGTTGTAATGTGACTTATAGTGACCCGTATCTCAATATGTTGTTCAACACCGTCACATGTAACCACCATCACAGGTGGCCCATGGCCTGGTAGGCAACACTCTCTTCACACACTTAGTGTCCGTGGTTCGATACCCGGCAAGGGTGAAAACATGGGGCGTGCTTCCTTACACCTGTTGTCCCCGTTCACCTACCAAGCAAGTAGATACCTGGGTGTTAGTCGACTGGTGTGGGTCGCAGTTCTCGATGACGCACTGACTTTCTTGGGTTATCCTGGGTGGATAACCCTCCGGGGTTAAAAACCCAAAAAATTATCATTACTCTCACAGCGTGTGTGTGGGCGGTGTGTGTGGGCGTGGCGGAGGGCGCCCCACGACCTGGCAACATGTACACATCCTTGGAACAGATGAACCACTTGTTTGTGTTCGACAAGCTGGTGGGGGAGTTGCTCATCCTCTTACCACAGAGCATCCCTGAAGCCTCCAGGTGGGTTCTTAGGTCATCCAGCTAGACCACATGGTGCCTTAAGATGTAGTTCATGACTGACAACTTTGGATGGGTGTAAGAACTTCATTAATCGCTAACCTCTCCCTCAGGTACCTAGAGTCCTATTGGAGTGTATCAGCTGACCGAGAAAAGGTTAAGGGTGAGGTGACCTCCGTGGAGATCACGGGTAATCCCCTTCATGTGTACTCTGTCATCAAACGACTCGTCTTGTACTGGCCTGTACTCAGCAACTTAGTCAACATCAGCCACACACTAGGTCAGACCTCACGCCGGCTCTTAACAAAAATTCTTCCCGTGAAACAAGGAAATTATTTGAACTTTGTCTTAAAATAAAGTACGGTATTTTTCTTCAAATTGTCAGTGCTCTATATATTGTAAACTAAAGGTAACTTGTATTGAACGATGCCAGTGAATGGGGAGACGAATGGTACAACGCAGGGCGTATATATATATATATATATATATATATATATATATATATATATATATATATATATATATATATGTCGTGCCGAATAGGCAGAACTTGCGATCTTGGCTTAAATAGCAACGCTCATCTTGCCATATAAGACAAGTGAAAATTTGTGCATGCAATAATTTCGCAAAAATCATTCTAAACCTAACGAAAAAAATATATTCATTGTGTTTGTTTATAATTAAATTACTGTAAACGTATCTAAAATATATTTAGTTCGGTTAAGCTAAAATAAATTGCTCTTGTTATAATAAGGTTAGGTAAGTTTTCTAAGATTCTTTTGGTACAAAATTAAAATTTTTTACATAAACATTAATGAAAAAAATATATCTTTAAGCGGATAAGAGAAAATTTTAGAAAGGACTTAATTTTAAATGAGTTCTTGCTAATTGACCAGTTTTACATATTCGGCACGACATATATATATATATATATATATAAATATATATATTATATATATATATATATATATATATATATATATATATATATATATATATTATATGTCGTGCCGAATAGGCAGAACTTGCGATCTTGGCTTAAATAGCAACGCTCATCTTGCCATATAGGACAAGTGAAAATTTGTGTATGCAATAATTTTGCCAAAATCATTCTGAACCTAACGAAAAAAATATATTTTACTGTGTTTGTTTAGTATTAAATTATTGTAAACAAATCTAAAATATATTAAGTTAGGTTAGGCTAAAATAAATTGCTCTTGTTATTATAAGGTTAGGTAAGTTTTCTAAGATTCTTTTGGTGCAAAATTATGAATTATTACATTAACATTAATGAAAAAAATATGTCTTTAAATGTATAAGAGAAAATTTTAGAAAAGACTTAATTTTGAATGAGTTCTTGCTAATTGACCAGTTTTACATATTCGGCACGACATATATATATATATATATATATATATATATATATATATATATATATATATATATATATATATATATATATATATATATATGTGTGTGTGTGTGTGTGTCGTGCCGAATAGGCAGAACTTGCGATCTTGGCTTAAATAGCAACGTTCATCTTGCCATATAGGACAAGCGAAAATTTGTGTATGTAATAATTTCGCAAAAATCATTCTGAACCTAACGAAAAAAATATATTTCATTGTGTTTGTTTAGTATTAAATTATTGTAAACAAATCTAAAATATATTTAGTTGGGTTAGGCTAAAATAAATTGTTTTTGTTATAATAAGGTTAGGTAAGTTTTCTAAGTTCCTTTTGGTGCAAAATTATATTTTTTTACATCATCATTAATGAAAATATATCTTTAAACGTATAAGACAAAATTTTAGAAAGAACTTAATTTTAAATGAGTTCTTGCTAATTGACCAGTTTTACTTATCCGGGACGACATTATATATATAT